AATTATTTTCTTATGGGCAAGGACTGAGCTGAGCCAGGATAAAGTAACTCATAGATCAGATATACTGTAAATTGATAAAAAGTTGGGAAGGGAGATTTATTTATTAAAAAGAACTAAATACAGCTGGGTGAAAAAGTTATCAGAGAAAAAAGGAACATAATTCAAAAACTGAAGGGTACATTGCAGAAAGAGCAGGCAGACTGCTTATTCTATTTAATTTTATCTTAATCAGGAGAATAAATAGCTAAAAGTACAAGAGATATGGGGAGAGAGAAAGAGTGAAAAAAGAAATAAAGCCTATCAGGCAACCCAGTTCAATAAAAATAAATTCCTCCTCTCTCAGCGGTTAAAGCAAAATGTTTCCTGAATCCTGACAATACCCCGTTCTTCTACTTTCTGGCTGGCTGGAACCCAAACAACCATCAATCAAGTTTGGGTGGCCATGAAGTAGGCCAGATGGAGTATGTCGGAAGCATTTTCTGCTCTTCAGTGCAAGTTGGCCATTAGAGCAGCCACTCAACAGAAGTGCTTGAGTCTTTCACATCTGTCAAGATAGTTTAGGGAGACCTTGAACATCCCCGGCCTTGCAGACACTGATTAGAATATGCAATTGTGTGTGCTAGAGGAGAGGTGGCTGCCTCTGCTGGGATTTTGTGATAAAAATTATCCTTTCATCCTTTCCAGCCTTTGTGACAGGCTTTCTCATGACCTCATTTGTGTACTAAATACACAAACCATGGTGTCTGGGATATCACTGTCATGTTGCTGACAATCTCTCTGTCCAAATGCACAATATTCAAGAACGGACGACAGTGTTTATCCTCGGTTAACTATACTTTAGCACAGCAGCCCAAGACCAAGCTGTGGTCTCCAATCTGAGAACACCTCAGCAAAGCTATGGAGAAAAGAGCTCGTCAGAAATCCAGATAAAATTCAAATTCCGGACTCATCATCTGCATACATACAGAAGAGTTTCTATAATAATTTTCCTCTTGCAAGCAGCGAGCTCCAATATGTCCAAGGTCACAGACTACAATCCATACGTAGAGTCAGCTGCTCAGAAGAAAAATACTGAGACAGAACAATTGCTAATGAGGAAAAAAATACTTTTTTTTTTTTTTTTAGTTTCCAAACTAATGAGAATGCTTCAAAAAGATTTTAAGGCTTTTCCATGGACGCTGACTAGTGATAAAACAAATCCATAAGAACATTTAGATCACCAGTTTATGAGGGAGGAATTGATTCCCAAGGTTAATGAGTATCTCCTGGTTTAATTTAGCAGAAGTTTTGCCATAGCTCATAGAAGTTCCTGGAAAACAAAAATACACTTTTATCAGCAAATGTGCAAAATTATAACCCTTGGGATTTTTCTGCAGGCAAAATTTTCCTTACTATTAAGCATAGATCAAAATTCTATGAAACAGCAATCATCTTCCAAATAGTTAGGTGAGAGGAAAGAGACACAGTATTCATCCTACCAGCAAAGTTGCTGCATGTTCATGAGCTGGAAAGGTGGATAAGCAACAGGACAGCAGCAGTTACAGATGACATCAATTTATTTGCATTTTTCTCAAAGAACAGAGAAGGTGAGGAGGAACTTCAGACACCAAGCCACACTAAGGAAATGTGTCAGGTGAAATCTGATACACAATACTTCATTGGGCAAGCCTAGATGAAATAATCTGCCTTATCCATGGACCTTCTTGGGTTCTTAACTAACCACATTAATTAACTTTTAAAAAAAAAAAAAAAAAAAATCTAAGAGTTAGGGAGAATTGTGAAAGTCTCAGATAAAGATATCTGCTGCACATGCAAGCAGCGATCAAAAGAAAAACATATTTAGGTTATTTAGTGGGTGTAATGAAAAATAAAGGAAGTATTACAAAGATATTTTCTTTTTCAACACAAATCTGTAGAGGACATGCTTGGAATACTGTGTACAGTCCAGTGTCTTCATCTCAGAAATGATTTAGCAATAATAGAAGGAATTTAGGTAAGTCCAGTAGAGAGTATTCTCATCATGGGTAAATTGTTATACAACGAAATACTTAAGTCCGAGGTTTTAGCTTTAAAAGATGGCAAGTGACAGAAAGTAACAGAAGATATATAAAATTACAATTGATTGGAGAAGCTAAATAGGGGCTTTTACTCACCCCATTTACAATATGAAAACAAAAGGAAAAGTGATGTAATGGAGAGGTTACAAACATGACCTAATAGAAGGAAAATTTCAGGGCACAGGAAAGGGGCTAGTCAGGAAAATACTGAAAACAACCCTTTTTCTGAATATACCAGTATTTTTCAGTGCAATATTCTCAGTCAGTTCACATCTGCTTTCGGCATTTCCAACCTATTGCTGTCAGAGATGTATTCAGTGATGCAGCTCTTGAAGCACACCAGTCAGAAAGGTAACCGTTTAGCAGTGGAACAGGTTCCTGTAATTAATAAGCCCCTCACTTACTATTCTGCTGCCAGAGCTCCCAAATGCCAGAGAGCCACGGCCCTGCTACTCCAGGCAATCACAGCAGGAACATACAACACTTGATCAGCATTTACAGGTCTAGCTGCACATCAATACAGACCTTATGCAACCGTATGCCTCAGAAAAAAATTGCTGCTTCCAAATAGTGTATCATATGCTTTTTCTCTTGTAGTCTTGAGCCATTGATGCGAAGCTATGGGTGAAAACGGAACCTAAGTATGTACCTGCAAGTGCTCAGACAATAATCTAGATCTTACTTCTCATCTCCAAAGAATTAAATTGGATCCTATTCTAACTATAGATTGAATACAGTTTAATTTTTCCTTTATCTAGATGTGGGTGCGGACTTACCTCCAACCTGTAATTTCCTTCACCTCTGGAGGAAAACAAATACTCTTATTCCAGCTAACGTGTCAGCACTCAGATTTTTAATTCAGAAATAAAATTCAGTAGGGCACAACATTTTCCACAGTACTAATCTGCTTGACCTAATTTCTTACTCTAGTTCCTCCTACTGCTGCCAATATACTGCCCGGTGTAGCTCCTATGTAGTTATGCCCACAGATCTGCAATATGTATTTCTTATCTTTAGCTCAGGGCCCAGGCAGGCTGCAAGTGTGCGAATTCCATGCGTGCTGCTCCTACTAATGCCAACAGCAGATGAACGAGCAGGTGGCATGCAGGAAGATGCCATGAGATTTCTAACGCAAATCAGGAGAGCAGAATTTCTGCCCACAGTTATTATGATCACAAACCTACCTATTTCTCCTTTTGCCTTCCTTCAAATCAAATGAAGTCAGGTTTCTTAATTAAGTCAAACACATAACTATGTTTGCTGCAGTCAGTCCCAATCCAAGTTTCAGTCTCAGCTATAACTCACTCATATCCAGAATCAGTTCAAGCTAACCCCAATCCAGCGATTTCACAAGCTCTGCCTTTAAAAGTATAATTTGAAAATGACCCTGTACCACCCAACAGCACTGCTCTCACAAAACAATGTTGCATCAACACCCTGCTTTGTCTCCCTCTCCCCTCTTCTGACAGCCATTGACAGAATACACCAACCCAGCGGGAGCAGAACAAGGCAGAGGGCTACTAGTGGCTCGAGCAGCAGAGGCCTTCTGGCAGCACAACAGGAAGCTTCATTCAATAAACTCCCAAATGCCACTTAGGCATGGAAACTTACTCAACCTCCCCCCCCTCCCCCAAAAAAGTCCTTCCCTCCAAACTAATAAACAAGAAAAATCACACAGTTCAAAGCCTTCCCTGCATTCCTACCCAGTCACTTCCCTCTCCAAATGAAGATGTTTATTGCTGCCAACTCAACCAAGCCAGCTGGTCTCTCAAAATCTGGTTGTATCCTTTCTGCTTCACAGCATGTCATTACCTACACAGGTTCTAGACTTAGTGCTTATCTGATAACTCCATGGATGGTGTGTGACGAAGACCAGTTACAGCTGTACTGACTGAAAGGAGACAGATGCATTCACACACACAGAAAGCATCTGCAGCCTCATCAGATATGTCTCTGGTTGCAAAAGCAGAGCAGGCCACCTGCAGGTACCCCTCAGATCAATGGTGCACCACCATCCACAATTTGAAAATTGCTGGTCCAAGTTGCACCTGTCACTCCTAATCACATTTGTTTTTATAATTATCCAAGTATTCAGAGCCTGGAATGTGTTAAACCTAGCTGGTTTTAAGCAAACAAATGCCAGGGTAGCATAGCTTGTAATATCCACTTAAAACACATTACTTCTGTATCTCAAACAAGATCTCACAGTTTTAGCTCCCACTATAAATCATCCGACAAACATAACACCTGCAACTCCAACAAAAGAGTACATTAAAAGGCTTTAATGATTAGAAAGAAAATAAGCTTGTCAAAGGGACACCTGGAAACACAAATGCAGGGCATATGCCTTTCTGTGTACTAGGAATTACACTGTCACTCACATTTACATAAGACACATACATTCCGTACTCTCCTTCCTGCTATCTTTGAATAAAGAACATACAACCCCAAGAATACAAAACATCCACATACTCTCTTTTCAACATGTAGTGAGCAGAACATCCCTTCTGTCCAGAAGGAAAGCAGTCCCTTTTTCAACTAGTCATTATTTGATACAAAACAAAACCTGTACAAAAGACATCTTTATTGAGAGATGGTTTTGCATGCTATTATTGGTCTGTTCCCATCAACAGGCGAGTTATGAAAAGCATCTGTACCCTGGAGGTCTAGTGAGCATAAACAAACTGCTAGCAGTACAGGCGGTCTAAGGTTAAAACTGGAGCTTTAATCTTCAGCTCACCTCTTGTGTGTGAGACTGCCTTGACTACACAACCCAGGAATATTGTCTGCCTGACTGCTGGGAGGTAGGAGCAGTGCAGAACTGAGGAAAGGCCATGAAAGTACAATCTCCTGTACTACTGAGTTCCCACTGAAGCATGCAGGACATCACAAATACAGTGATTTAAATGAACTAGTGTGCAGCTTTCAGCAAATGGAATTTACCTTGAGGTTTGGGTTTGGTAAGCTTCCCACAGGGCTTTGAGATTGTGACGGTCTTCTGGCAGTCAGCATTATGAAGGGCTCTCTTTAGGTTCCCGGTTCGAGTCTTCAAGGCAGTATTCAAGTCACATTCTCCCCAGGCCTGGAACTGGTATTTGCACTCCGCTGCAACAAGTAAATAAATAGCCATTTTTAAAACAGAATGACTGAGTGTGAAAACAAAAATGCTGTGAGTCTAATAGGATATAACAGACAGCCAGTGCTTGTAGACAAAAGGATCATGAAACTGAAGAAAGGAATCCCAAGAAAAATTTAAAGATGATTTGCAGTGATAATTGCGGTCCACCCCCTCAAATGCTTTAAAATGGAATTCTCTTGCTTTTGCGTGGATATTGCATTATTGTCATATAAAGGAAAATACATTCAACTATGAAGATGCACAATAAATAAATTAAAAAAAGAAAGAAAAAACAGCAGTGGGAAATGTCATTCACATTCTATATGGCTGTTCCTCCATTTGTGTGATGCCAAAGGTTACTAAATAAGGATTGAATAGTTTCAAGAATGTAAGTGCAACTATGAACTTGTCAAGTCTGTAACTGCTGCACCAATTGCCTTGGTAAGGTCACAATGATGTCAAAGCCATACAAGCTGTTTACTAGGGGAAAAAAAAAAAAAAATTTTGCAGGAGTAACCAGATCTGAGTCCCGGACAGACATCTTGTCCAGGACAGATCTGACATATCTTTCTGATCTGTTATAGATGAACCTTCTGAACTGAATAACATAGCTGAAATACACTGGTCTTCATTCACTCCTTTCAATGCACACACTGGTAGCCACCCATGCTCCATGCTGCAAATCACACATCCCGAGGTCACGTAAAGCCTGTGGTAACCATTGCAGAGATTCACAGCTATGAGAGAACACACGAC